CGATTCTGGGAAGAAGGTAACTAGTTAATAAAATTAGAAAGGAAAAATAGTAGCATATGCAATCAACATTTTAAATGAGTATCTACTAGTTGGACTTCCAAAAGTAGTAACTTATGCAAATGACATCTCAATGCATTAAAAGTTTATCTTAAATCACAATCAATTGCTCTTAGCAATTCAGTTTTATTTTTAATACAAAAATTTAACATTTGCCATTTTTGAACAATTCAATAAAAATGTTAACCTCTAGTGAAGTCCTTTTCTACCTATATTTATTTCTTGGATCCTCCAAAAGTGTCATCGCATCCATGTCTGATCCTCCAAATATTATGCATTTTTTTGAAAGATCTGACACACGTATGACCATATTTTTGGAGGATCCGAGTAACATGGTCTTTAACCAGAAGAATGAATATGAATCATATCTTACCTCACGATCCATGAGAATATAGTCAACTGGTAGTGAAGGAGTGGATGGTGTTATGTCGAGGAAGAGGCAAACCCGAAAATAAAGAAGATAAAGAACACCAATTTTTAACGTGGAAAACCCTTCAAATCGAAGGTAAATCACGAGATCACAAAGATCCAAAAGCTCCACTATAACAATAAGAGGGTCACAAAAGTTTTCCAAATTTTGTTACACAACAAGTGCCAAACACGGAGCAACAATAGCAACAACTAATCAATTGAAGAAAGAGGAGAATCCACAAAAATGAAGTTGTCGTCTGAGGCTCGAAATCAGATGCTACGAGCCACCAAAACCGATCTCCACCTTTCAAATCAAAGATCAAAATGTTATGAGCACTTAGTCAAAATATCAACCCTATCCAACAGTTAACGAATCGGAAAACTTGATTTGAAGTTGGCTGGTCGGAATAAAAATCTGCAGCAAAATAAATACTTTTCGTCTCTCTTCTCTCTTGATGAAAGCTCTCTCAAAAACCACTCTTATGTGCTTAAGTCTTTCAAATACTTGTATCAATGAGCATAGAATAATTCTCCAAGGTTGTCCTATTTATAGATCATGAGTGGTGCTTTCTCTTATGGCCAAAAGCCACTCAAAACAGGAATAAACACCGAATCCAATTTCGAATAGGAATGAAAATAAAAAAAGAATAGGATTAGGCCATTGAGCCTTTGGATAGACAATATGGGCATGTGCCCAACAAACTCCCCCTCTAGTCAAGGGGCCAAATGTGTCTTCAAGTAGAGAAACTATTGACAGGCTTCATGCCTGCCAATTTTCTACAAAACGCATGCTTATCTGCAAGCTTAACTACGAAGTCCTCAGGATGCTCCATATAAATCTCCTCATTTAAATCACCACGAAGAAAAACAGTCTTGGCATCCATCTGCTCAACTTCTAAATCTAGAATTGCGGCTAAGCCTAGAACCACACGAATAGAAGACATCTTGACAACAAAGGAGAAAATTTCATCAAAATCAACTCCTTCTTCTGGCCAAAACCTTTACCAACTAATCTTGCCTAGTATTTAGGCGCAGAGGTATGATTATCTTGCTTTATTATGGATATCCATTTGTTAGATAAAACTCTCTTACCTTTCGGTAATTTCACTAACTTATTTGTGCCATTCTCATAGAGTGACTTCATCTCATCTTCCATGACTTCGATCCACTGATCTTTGTAAGTATTTTGTATGGCTTTATCATAATTCTCAAGTTCTCCCATGTCAGTGAAAAGTACATACTCATCAGGAGGATAACACATGGATGTTTGCTTCTCCCTTGTAGATCTTCTAAGAGAGGTTTCAGGAGCATTCAGTAGTTACCTGAGAAGGAATTGGTTGCTGATCAACCACAACTTCATCAACTGAAGCATCCATAACATCTACACCATGATGATCATTTTGATCGTGATCAGTATCTCCATCATTGTCTTGGGTTCCTTCATGTGCAATAGGTGCCTTAACAATAGAAACTAGATCACTATCAACTAAGCTCTCATTATTCTGAGAATCTATCTTTTCAGCTTTGTTAATATCTTCAATAGTCTAGTCTTCAAAGAATATTGCATCACGACTTCTAATAAGTTTATTGTCAACTAGGTCATAAAAACGATACCCAAACTCATCTTGACCATAACCGATAAAGATGCACTGCTTAGTTTTGACATCCAGTTTGGATCTCTCATCTTTAGGAACATGCACACAAGCTTTACACCTAAAAATTCTCAGGTGATCATAAGAAACATCTTTGGCAAACCAAACTCTGTCTGCGACATCACCATCCAAAGCAACAACATGAGACAAATTGATAATATAGGCAATAGTGTTAAGTGCTTCTGCCCAACATGTATTTGGAAGTTTAGCCTTTGAAAACAGGCATCTAACTCTTTCAACTAGAGTTCTATTCATCTTCTCTGCCAAACCATTCAATTGAGGCGTCTTGGGCAGAGTTTTCTGATGATGAATTCCTTGTTCCTTGCAATAGTTATCAAAGAGACCACAATATTCATCACCATTGTCAATGCGAATACATTTTAATTTCTTCCCCGTCTGTCTCTCAGCTAAGGCCTGAAATTCCTTAAACATGCCAAGTGATTGATTTTTAGATTTCAAAGGATACACCTAGAGCTTACGAGAATGATCATCAATGAAGGTCACAAAATAAAGTGTGCCACCTTTTGAATTTACTTTAAAAGGACCACACAAATCAGAGTATACTAGCTCCAATAAATCGGGTTTTCTTGAGAGAGGATGGCTATGAAAGAAATCCCTTTTCTGTTTGCTAGCTAAATAATAGATACACCTTTTCAGCTTTACTTGTTTTACTCCAGAAAGCAAATTTTTCTTAGCCAAACACATAATTCCCTTCTCGCTCATATGACTCAATCTTCTGTGCCACAATTCTGATAAAGTGTCACTTTCCACCAGATTTATGGAGTCATTAAGAATAGATCCATGTGTCACATATAAATGACCAGACTTGACTCTTCGAGCCACTACTAACGAGCCCTTGGTGAACTTCCATTGGCCATTAAAGAGGGTATTATGGTAACCTTCATCGTCTAATCTTCCTTCGGAGACCAAATTAAAAGGGAAGTCTAGAGCCTGCTTGACATCTTGAAGAACTAACGTTGAACCATTACCAAACACCTTAACTTCACTGGCATTGCCCATCTATAACACTCCGGAATCAACAAGAGTATAAGATGAGAAAAATCTTTTCTTGGTATGACATGTGAGGTAGCTCCAGAATCTACTATCCAGCTCGTCTCATGGGATACCAAATTGATGACGTTTTCATCACAAGCAAAAAGAAGGTCATCTTGAACAATAACAACAACATTGTTCTCATTATTTTCAACTTTCTTTCCTTCTCTATTGTCTTGCAACAACTTGCGGCAAAACCTTTTGATATGTCCTTTCTTTCCACAGTGGTTGCATGTAATATTATGGTATTTGAACCTTGACTTACTTCTACTTTTACCTCTATTCCTCGAGCCTCTTGTTCTATCTCTCCCCCGATCTTGTGTAACCAAGATATCTATTTGCGAGGACGAACCTTGAGATTTTATCCTTAATTCCTCGTTCAACATACCACTCTTGGCATATTCCATGGTCACCTTACCTCCAGGAGCTGAATTTATCAAAGAAACACGAAGAGTTTACCAAGAGTCAGGTAGAGTATTAAGAAGCCACGGTCTTTATATCTCATTATCAAAATTAACTCCCATTCCAGACAGCTGATCAAGGACGCCCTGAAAATTATGTGATCAGGTATAGGGCTGCCTTCCTTGTATTTAAAGGTCTTCAATTGCTTTAGTAGGAACAACTTGTTGTTCCCAATTTTTGAAGCATAAAGAGTCTCTAACTTTTCCCACAATGATCTCGTATGTGTCTCGTTCACAATATGGTTGCGAACATTATATTCTTCCCATTGTCGTATATATCAACATACTTGTTGGTGCTCGAAATCCCAATCTTTATCAGCTATACTCTTGGGTTTATGAGCTGAAAAAGGGGTAGATGCATCTTCTTCACGAACAACAAATCTTTCATCTTGCTTCTCCAAATATTATAATTTCTCCCATTTAAACATACCATCTTGCTCATGTTCACCTCCATTCCGTACCAACCGGGATAAATAACCAAGGCTCTGCTACCACTGTTATGTCGAGGAAGAGACAAACCCGAAAATAAAGAAGATAAAGAACACCAAATTTTAACGTGGAAAACCCTTCAAATCGAAGGTAAAAACCACTAGATCACAAAGATCCAAAAGGCTCCACTATAAAAATAAGAGGGTCACAAAAGTTTTTCAAATTTGGCTATACAACAAGTTCCAAACACGGAGCAGCAATATCAACAACTAATCAATTAAAGAAAGAAGAGAATCCACAAAAATGAAGCTGTTGTTCGAGGCTCAAAACAGATGTTACGAGCCACCAAAACCAATCTCCACCATTCAAATCAAAGACCAAGATGTTATGAACACCCAGTCAAAATATCAGCCATATCCAACAGTTAATGAATCGGAAAACTTGATTTGAAGTTGGCTGGTCGGAATAAAAATCTGCAGCAAAACAAATACTTTTTGTCTCTCTTCTCTCTTGATGAAAGCTCTCTCAAAAACCACTCTTATGTGCTTAAATCTTTCAAAGACTTGTATCAATGAGCATAAAATAATTCTCCAAGGTTGTCCTATTTATAGATCATGAGTGGTGCTTTCTCTTAAGGCCAAACGCCACTAAAAATAGGAATAAACACCGAATCCAATTTCGAATAGGAATGAAAATAAAAAAGAATAGGATTAGGCCATTGGGCCTTTGGCTGGACAACATGGGCATGTACCCAACAGATGGTCCTATCTGGCTTTGATCTCTAAGGCCTTTGCAAACATAAGCTAGAGCTTGTTCACCATTTTCACATGTGTAAGTATTTGCACCAAGCTGAGAAACTATGGTTCTGCAAATCTTAAGTAGTAGTTCATTATCCTCTACTACCAAGATTGTCCTTCCTGCTAAAGGTAATCTATTACTAGATAACATCAACAGAAACATCTTGTATTTCTCCTTCTAGGCATGGACTTCTAGACCTCATTGGAGTATTCAGAATCTTGATTCTTGAAGTTCTTTCCTCCCTTACTTCTTGTGTAATGGTTGGTAAGATTGTATCTCCAAACTCTGCTACAAATCCGAGGACATGATATAAACAAGAACCATGTAGTGGTTTTGCCATGACTACATCTATAACTGTTGAAGGTAGCTTATCCTCATCTATGCCTGGTTTATCGAGCCAAACAACTCGAAGGGAGATATTCTTCGGGAAGTCCTTTCGAAATTCAGCCATAACACGACTTATTTCTCGCAATGGTCCAACACTTGTGTCAATTATGATCAAGATGAATCTTATAACTGCACTCTTAGAATAAAGTCCTCTACCCCTCATCTGAATGGATGGGATATAATCATCATATGTTCCATCTAAAGCACTAAGGGGAATTTCCTTTGATTTCCCTAAAGATGATGAGTTATATGACAGAAAGGTGATTAATTTCCTTTTCACCTTCTTGAGAGTAGGAGAAAACTGGTCGAGCCACTTCACAACATGTGCCCTTAACCCTATGTTTATCATGAATCTATGAAGAACTTTTCTTCTTTCCTCCTCCCTAATGAAAAGAATGACATCGGATCCTTCTGGTTTCTGATGGCTACTGATACTATTAATTGCTTGATGTTTTTGAACATGAGACTGACATGCTATAAGAAAAATGTTGCATCGAAAGCAATTGCCCTTTTCGCCAATATCATTATCAATGATACCTATTTCACCTCCCATTAACCGAACCTAAAAAGCAAGAAAGAAATATGAGATATGAGGTAATAAGTTCATTAAATTCTTTCTGAGGTAATAAGTTTATTAAATTATACTTGTAATGCTTTCTGCTTTAGCAGAAACTCGTTTACATGTAGCTGAACAAATTCTTGAGTTTTCATGCATACCTTTGTTGTTAGTTCACACATAATTAAAGGACGTTATATATTGGCGATGTTTCTAGTATAATGAAAGTGTAAACTGAAAGCTGGTAGTCCGGTGCACTAAGCTCCCGCTATACGCAGAGTCCGGAAAAGGGTCGGACCACAAGGGTCTATTGTACGCAGCCTTACCCTTCGTTTTTGTAAGAGGTTATTTCCACTGCTCGAATCCGTTACCTCCTGGTCACATGACAACAACTTTGCCAGTTACATCAAGGCTCTCCTTCAGTATAATGAAAGTCTCTTGGAGAAATATGAGTACTAAAAAGAGACTTCAATACCACTGATAAAACAAGAAATTAACCTGAAATTAATAGGAAATTCTTTAACCTTTAGTGTGTGTGTGTCTATGTATCACATATATGAGGTGCAGAACACACTGACTCATTCTGGATGGTGTATGGTAAAAGACATGTGCCAAATACTGAATAATGCCAAGCCCCAAGCAGGTGCCTGCTTTTCCATAATTAGGAGTTGTCTCATTCACTTGAACATAATTCTCAAAAACTGATTTATGTTTCTCTTTAGGAATTCCTTTCCCTGTATATGATACACGAATATTAGAAGGGTGGTTAGTTAAGGAATTCAAAAGGTAGTTAAGACAGTTAGTTGGAAATTCAAAAAGTAGTTAGAGTTAGTTAAAGTTGTTACAAGAGTTAGTTGGAAGATGTTAGTTGGAAGAATCAGTTAGTCGAAGAAATCTATTAGAAGCTCAATCATTTCATAAAATGTAGTAGATATAAATACATTTATAATCAACAAAGTTACATATATGAAAAGGTAGTTACATATAACTCTAACTACTTCTTCTTCTTCTCTCTTTCAACATTGCGATCCTCGAGTTAGTTAACATCCTGCAATCGCATAACATTGGTATCAGAGCTTCCAATCTTTGGAATCATGGCAAAATGTACTCGATCAACTGATAACTCAATTGAAGAACCATCTGATTTGCGTGAATTGATGCAGAAGTTAGTTGCAGATATTGGGTCTTTAGATGGAGGGGTCTCCAATCTGAGACGTCTGGATCAGACTGTTCTAGAACTCAAAGAACAGTTGACTCATTCTGGTGAAAAGACATCCATTTCCTATTCTACTCTACCTTCTTCTTCTTCTTCTTCTTCTTCTTCTTCTTCTTCCTCTTCTTCTTCTCTCTTTCAACATTGCGATACTCGAGTTAGTTAAACTCCTGCAATCACATAACATTGATATCAGAGCTTCCAATCTTTGGAATCATGGCAAAAGGTACTCGATCAACTGATAACTCAATTGAAGAACCATCTGATCTGCGTGAATTGATGCAGAAGTTAGTTGCAGATATTGGGTCTTTAGCTGGAGGGATCTCCAATCTGTGACGTCTGGATCAGATTGTTCTAGAACTCAAAGAACAGTTGACTCATTCTGGTGGAAATCGAAGGGATAAGACTCATACACAACATGAAGGCAAACCATCTAATGAAAGGTCACCAAGAGAAAAGTGCCCTGCCAGTTATAACCATCACAATTTCAATTTCTCGACATGGTCGAGGATGGAATTCTTGAGGTTTAATGGTGAAGATCTGAAGTCATGGCTATTCAAAATTGAGCAATTCTTTTCCATGGAGAAGGTGCCTGCTGAAGAAAGAGTGGAGGTGGCTGCAATGCCGTTAGAAGGCGAAGCTATACAGTGGCATCTAGCATTTATGAGGTATAGACAATATCTCCAACCATCTACATGGACTGAGTATGTAATGGCAATGGTGGAACGATTTGGAGTCGACTTTGATGATCCTATGGAGGAAATTAAGAAAATTAGGCAAACTAGTACTGTCAAGGAGTATCAAGCTATTTTTGAAAGAAATCTCACAAGAGTTAATCTGTCACAAGAGAATGCCATCAGTTGTTTTCTTGGTGGACTGAAACATAAGTTGAATATTGCTGTAAAACTCACAAATCCCACCACCTTATCCTAGGTGTATAAGACTGCTAGGATGCAGGAGGCTTAATTAGCTGCTATTAGACAACCTCCAATAGTCAGCTATGCATCAAACAATGCTCCCAAAAAGATCATGGATCAAAGGAACAATAGCAGGCCAATGTTACCAACTCCTAGCCAAGGTAATGTTGGGACTTCTAAAGGATTCAATAGAAGAACATTAAGTATAGAAGAAATGAATTAAAAAAGGGCAAGTGGGTTATGCTACTTCTGCAATGAGAAGTATGTACCTGTGTATAAGTGTAAGAATGCCAAACAGATATATGTATTGGAACTAAAGGGAATGGAGGATGGACATGACATAGAGGTGGAGGGTGAACTGATACTATAAGAGGAAGAGTTCAATCAACTAGAACTAGCTCAACCCATAGAGTAGATGGAGATTTCTATCCATGCTCTAAATGGTTCTTTAGGCTACAGAACTCTGAAGGTGACTGGGTATCATGCTAAAAAGGCCTTGAACATACTGATTGATACTGGGAGTTCACATAATTTCATAGATTCTAATTTGGTTCATCATTTGGGATGTAAGATCATATCAACTACTCCTCAAATAGTAGCTGCTGCTAATGGAAATATGATGGTGGACAGAATGTGTACCATCACATGGCTGTTGCAAGGTGCTGAGTTTTCAGCAGAATTCCTATTACTACCACTAGGCTCTTGTGGGGTAGTATTAGGAGTGCGATGATTGCTAACTCTGGGAGATATAAAGATGAATTTCAGGAAGCTAACCATGGAGTTTTGGTATAAAGGGAGAAAACATCTTCTGAGAGGAGTTGGCAATCAAGTCATGGTTCAAGAAGCTGGAAAAATAGCCAAACATATAGGTAGCACTTCTCAGTTATGCATGATTCAAGTAGTGCCTATGGAGAGTGTCGGAGAACATTGGCATGCATTTAAGGCTAAGGAAGAACCTAAAACAAACATTAGATTAGCTCACTTGTTATCTGAGTATTCTAACTTATTTGAGGAACCTACTAAACTACTTCCTTCTAAAGGTGTATTTGACCATAGAATTCTGTTGCATAAGGATACTGAACCTGTAAATAAAAGACACTATAGGTATCCTTCTATGAAAAAGAATATCATTGAGGCCTTAGTACAACAGATGCTTGATCAAGGCATCATACAACCTAGTTGTAGTCCCTTTGCATCACCAGTGGTCTTGGTAGGAAAAAGGGATGGCACATGGAGACTTTGTGTAGATTATAGGGATCTGAACAAACATATTATGAAGAACAAGTTTCCCATTCCAATTGTGAAATACTTGTTAGATGAGTTAGGGGGATCTAGAATTTTTTTCTAAAATAGACGTAAGGTCGGGCTACCATCAACTTAGGATGGCAAAGGAGGATGTGCCCAAAACTGCTTTCAGAACTCACTTAGGTCATTTTAAATACCTGGTTATGCCTTGGCCTCTCAAATGCTCCTGAAACTTTTTAGGGATTAATGAACTCTATCTTTCACAAGTTTCTTAGGAAACATATGCTGGTTTTCTTTGATGATATACTAATCTACATCAAAACTATGGAAGATCATTTCATTCACCTAAGGTCTGTCTCTGTGGAGATGATGAAGCATCAATTATTTGCTAAGAGGAGCAAATGCTTCTTTGGAGTCCACAAAATTGAGTATTTAGGCCACTTTATTACAACTGAAAGAGTCTCTATTGATCCTCACAAAATAGAAGCTGTGAGGAATTGGCCTACACCAACTACACTCAAGCAGTTAAGAGGATTTCTAGGCCTAGCTGGATACTATAGGAGGTTTATCAAGAACTTTGGTATGATTTGCAAACCATTAACTGAATTGACCAAGAAGAGCAATTTCAAATGGTCATCAGTTGCTGATGCAGCTTTTGCTGAATTAAAAGAGGCACTTACTTAGGCACCTGTCTTAGCTTTACTTAATTCCAGAAAGACATTCATTGTGGAGACTGATGCAAGGGGTTATGGTATAGGGGCAATACTCATGAAAGAAGGGCATCCAATAGCCTTTATTAGCAAAGCTCTGTCACATAGACATGCTGCCTTATCTGTCTATGATAGGGAGTTATTAGCTATTGTTCATGCAGTTTCTAAATAGTCACAATACCTGCTAGGACAGAAGTTTATTATAACAACCCGACCTGTCGTTTTGAACTTTTGTACTTTGATCGCCAGTTCCCGGGCATGACTTGCCCCGCGTAACGTATTATGACTGATGTAGATTGTTGGTTTTGGTTTTCAAGAAAAATCGGAATGAATTTGAAGGAACAGTCTCAGTTGAAAGCTTTGAATTTGAAAGGTTTGACTAAGAGTTGATTTATTTGTATATGAGCTCGGATCGGAAATTTTATGTTTGGATAGTTTCGTTGGGTGATTTATGACTTAGGAGCGCGATCAGAATGCATTTTGGAAGTCCGTGGAAGGATTTGGCTTGAATTGGCAAAGTTAATATTTTGGCAAATTCTGGTTGATAGGTGAGATTTTGATTTGAGGGTCGGAATGGAATTCCGAGAGTTGCTGCAGCTTTGTTATGTCATTTGTGATGTGTGTGCAAAATTTCAGGTCATTTGGTCGACTTTTTGATCGAATTCAGATTTCAGAAGTTTTGGAATTCTTAGGCTTGAATCTGAGGGTGATTTGATGTTTTGATGTTGTTTTGAGCGTTCCGAAGGTTGGAACAAGTTTGAATTATGTTATGGGGTGTGTTGGCATGTTTGGTCGGGGTCCCATGAGTCTCGGATAAGTTTTGGAAGAGTTTTTGGAAGATTTTGCCGTTTTGAGCATAAGCATGTAATGATCCAAAGATCCATTTTTAGTTCTAGAGATCGAAATTTGATTTCGAGACTTTCGGAATTTTGATAATGAATTATAGGATTGATCTGGAAAGTTTGGTCTAATTTTATCAAGTCGCGATTGAGTTTTTGACACGGAACATGAGTTAATTGTTTAACGAGCGAAATGGGTATTGAACTAAGCAAATGAGCTCCGAATTGAGT